GTAAGAGGTCGTTGCTGTGAGAAAATGGGAGTGAAGAAAGGGGCATGGAGCCCTGAAGAAGACCAGATTTTGGTCTCTTACATTCACCAACACGGCCATCCTAATTGGCGAGCACTCCCCAAACAAGCTGGTAATTATATTTCTTACCCACTAATTAATTTTGTCATTTTTTTCATTATTATTTTCATATACTATTTTTTTTTTTTTTTNTTACATATACTATTTTTTTTTTTTTTGTTAATTAAATCAAAATTAATAATGTTTTTTGCAGGGCTATTGAGATGTGGGAAAAGTTGCAGACTCAGATGGAATAACTATTTAAGGCCTGACATTAAAAGGGGAAATTTCACCAAAGAAGAAGAAGATACCATTTTTAACTTGCATCAATTGCTTGGTAACAGGTCTGTGTCCTTATTATTATTGTATATTTTTGTTTTTAATACAATTTTTTTTTAAATAACATTTATTATTGATGACATTTAAAAAGATATGGTGTGTTACAAGATCATGATATTTTTTTAATAATTACATCATAATAATAGTGGTATGTTAGGCCATCTCCAACCGAAGAATTCGTTTTTAAATTCATTTTGCAGTAACTGTTAAATTAAAAAAGTAATTCATTTCCACCCGAAAAATTAATTCTTAAACTCAAAAGAACATTCTTAGAATATCTTTTTCTTCATAAACTTTTACCCCATTTAAATACTACCCACATATTTTATAATTTTCAACTTAAACCATATTATTATTCTAAATTTGGTTAGCGGTTTATGCAATCAAATTAAATGTTATAGTAAAAGTTCATATAGATAAGAAATTTGGAGAAATAAATATTCGTTAAAAGTTGAAAATCACAATGCACCAGCTGAAATATAAAATACATTGAGAGACAAATAAATGTTTATTCGTACAAGTAGAAATAGATAGCCTTTCAAATTAATCTCAAAATTTGTGTATCTTTCTACAAATGATCAACTAGTTCATTTTGAAGTGCATTGTGATTATTTTTATTTCAATTTCTTGAATACCGAGATATGAATTCTTGAATATCCTAGAATTACTTTACAAAAAGTTTTACAGTTGCTCGAATTAAATTTGTTATTAGGATATGTTCACCCCATATATATATACAATTTCACATATGTATGTTTTATAGTTTTTTAATGTCCTTTTATTGATACAAGTAATATAATAATATCATTTAAATACAACATTAAAGCATAAATTAATCAAAGATATAATTGTTATATACAACATATATAGGTGTACTCAAAGATATAATTTTTGGCCTCTGTGCTGATTCCCCGTGGGGGGCAATCCTATTCTCCTGTGGGGAGTGATCCTAGTTGTGTTGGTGTCTTTTAGTTGTTTGTAGTAGGTTTGTCTATTCTAGCATGGCTAGCGAGGCTCTAGGCGGTCTTTTGATCCGTCCTCCCAGTTTTTAGTTCTTGGTTGTAATATTCAGCCTTGAGCTGCTTTTTTGCACAGTTGTGCGTTTTGATTTAATATACATCTATCGTTTCCGCAAAAAAAAAAAAAATAAAAAAAAACTAAGATTTTTTATTTGTGTTGGAAAAAAATCATATCTTGTTTACTAAATTCTTCATTATTGTTTGTTTTAATTTTAATTTTTAAACATTTTTTTAATTGGGTTTTGTAGATGGTCTGCAATTGCAGCAAGATTACCGGGGCGTACAGACAATGAGATAAAAAATGTTTGGCACACTCATCTCAAGAAAAAACTAAAGAACTATCACAAGCCCTACAATGACCGAAACAGCCACACAACTATTTCAATTCCCAAATGCAACCCCAAAGTTTCCAAAAATTCATATTCAGCCAAAGACATAGTGGCTAGTCCTCAACAATGTTCTAGTGGAATATCGACTGTCACGGATTCATTGATCGAAAAAATGGGCGCGAAGAATGAAGAAGAAATGGACTACACGTCCGAGTACTCTCCACAAATCGACGAGAGTTTTTGGTCCGATGAACTATCGAAGGATAATAATCGGGACGAAATTCAATTTCAGTTTCCATCAGTAGTGCAAAATGTGGAGGATACAAAAAGTGATGATAGCATGGACTTTTGGTACAATCTTTTTATCAGAGCTGAGGACATGCCAGATTTGCCAGAGTTTTGAAGGCTTTTTATTACTATTTATATTTTAGTGATATAATTAGGGAGTTGGGAATTTTGGATTGTTTTCGTGAGGGCATTTTTTGACTTGGATCATAAAATTAAAATTGAAATTTGGGTTGGAGGTAATGTGAGGATTTGAAGAAATAAGTTTGACTTAGAAATTTTGTTTTGTGATTTTAAACTTGAGGATTAAGGAGTAGAGGGGGAAAAAATAATAAGACGATATATTTCTTGGCCTAATCTAAGCCATTTCTATTCAATGGTAATTTGCTAGACAAATTTTAATTGTGGCCTACATGGTCTTTGGTGAAAATTGTGTACTTTAACCATCTTCAACAAAAAAATACTCATTTTTCAATAATTATCCCTATTGAGAGACTATCTTGTGATAATCTTATAAGATAAATGTGACAATTGTATATTCCTTCGAGCCAATTATTCCAGAGTCAGGAGGAGGAAGGTTTCTTAGCAGCATCAAAGATGTTAGTATTAGCGAAATACCTGCTTTTGAGGATTTGGCTAATAAGAAGGTCTGGTTGACAGGTCATCCTCCATAACCGCTTCAAAATTAAAGCCACATTAAATAACCTAATGTCTTGGAATCCCAACTCCCCTTGCTGCTTTGGCAAAGAGAAAAATTTCCAGCTCCTCCAATGGATGCCCTTAGCTTGATCACCACCTTTACTCCACCAAAACTGAGTTGTCAACTGAACAATTTCCTTACAAATTCCTGCAGTTAACTTAAACCACGATACGACAAACACAGGAAGGGAATTGATGACAGCTTTGATTAACACCTCTTTACCTTCACCTGATAAAAACTTATTCTTCTAGCTCACTAATCTCTGCCTGACAGATTGAATGACAAAGTTAAAAGCCTCCCTTTTTGATTTTCCAATCTCAAGGGGGAGTCCAAGATATCTGGAGGAGTTGTGGGCTGTCAGACCATCTAACACTTCATATATGCTGGCTTTCACTGAGTTGTCTGTATTCTTGTTGAAGACACTGTATACTTTAGGGGTGAGCGTGGATCGGTACGGTTCGGAGATTGATAAATCTCCGGAACCGTACCAAAGTTCGGAGATCTCAAAATTCGATCTCCAAAACCGTACCAAAAAGTCATTTCGGTTCGACTCGGAGATTTATATTTTTCAGTTCGGTTCAGTTCGGTATTCGGGACTATTGAGACGGTACGGTTCGGTATGGTTTGGTTCGAATCTTCGGAGATTTCTTATTTTTTTAGATTTTTTTTGAATGACTACCTAGTTATATTTTTATTTTTATATGCTTTTAAAAAACAACATTCATTAATAATTCATCATATTGAAAATTTTATTTTGAAATCAATTTTTGAGGTAACTCTAAATTTTAGTTATTTAATTTTTATATGCTTTAATAAAATCAACATTTATCAATACTTCCTCATATTAAAAATTTTATTTTGAAATCAACTTTAGAAGTAACTCTAAATTTTAGTTAAGACATAATATGTGCAACTAATATTGAAAATTTAAAATTCAAACAAAATATAATATTTTTTTCTAAAAAAAAATATTCTTTAACCTTTCATATTATTTTAAATAATTATTTTATAATAGAAAAGATTCAATTGTAGATCAAATATTACTGAGCATGAAAGTTAAGTGAAGGTTAATAATTATTATTACTATATTATAAAGGATCAAAGGTGACATAAAATATATTAATAACACATCTAATGTTATAATTCGGTTCTTAATTTCGGTTCTTCGGTTCGGTACGGTATGGGACGGTTCAATTCAGTTCTCGGTATGGATATTTGTGAAATCTTCATAACCGTACTAATTATTTTTTCGGTTCGGTTCGGTTCGGTTCAGAGAAAGTCAAACGGTCAACGGTTATTTTTCGGTTCGGAGTAATTTCGATTTGGTTTTCAGAACGGTTCAGAATTCTCCAAGTCCCATGCTCAGCCCTAGTAGACTTTGACAAGTTTATTACCTTCTGGCTAGAAAATTATTCATAGATGTGAAGAATATCCATCAACAACACAGCCTGGCCCACATCAACTTTGCAAGACACTGATAATTAATCTGCAAATAATAGATGAATCAATAAAGGCCCCCCACTTGCCAATCTTAAACCCTTGAACACACCATCATTAGCTGCAGAAGTAATCAGAGTTGAGAGAGCTTCAGTGACAATCAGAAAGATGTAAGGGGAGATGGGGTCTCTTAGCCTCAATCCTATTGTTGGATGTACATTACCCACCACCTCTCCACTTAGAATGAAAGAGAAAGAAACAATTGTCACACAAAACATGATCCAGTTGACAAAAGTATCAACAAGTCCCATTTTAAGTATTAAAGCACTCACACATTTTGATTCAACCCTGCCGTATGCCTTCATCATGTCTAACTTTAAGGCCATAAAGCTATGCTTGACAGATCTATGTCTATTCAGGTAATGGAAACCTTCATGAGCTATTATGACATTGTCTAATAGTTGTCTACCAGGTATAAAAGCTCCCTGAGCTGGGCTAATACAACTATCAAGACAAAACTTTAGTCTGGAAGCCAGAATCGTGGATATCAGTTTGTACACCACAACACATAAACTTATGGGTCTATACTGATTCAAAGAGTTTGGGTGAACAGATTTGGGGATAAGGGTCAAGAGTGGATAATTCCAATATCTATGGAAGTGCACAGGCAAGATGAAACTTTTAACAATTCACACGTATCTTTTCTAATTACAGGCCAAAAATGCTGATAGAAAAGGGTTGTCGTGTCTTCTTCTCTAGGAGCCTTCAAAGGATTCATGAGGAAGAGGGTCTGCCGGATTTCTTCTTCTTCTTCTACCCCAACAGTTAGAGTTGCATTCATATCTAGAGTAATGGATTGACGAATGAGCTGCAGAATTCGTTCCCCTCCATGAGAGCCATCTAATGTGAACAATTTCTGATAAAAGAGAGAAACGTAGTTCTCTAGATCCTCTTTTGCTTCAAGGATCATATTATTGTCATCTACCAATCTAGTGATGGAATTCCCTTTTCTTCTTTTCATAGTCATTGCATGAAAAATCTTGAATTCTGGTTCCCCCTTTAAGCTATTGATTCCTGGACTTTTGCTTCCAAAAGAGTTCCTCTGAAAATGTGTCTCCTCCAACTCTTTCTTAATAGACTCCCACTCCTCCTAGTTCTTGCCATCCCCCAGTCTACTCATATCTTCCAACTTTAGGGTGAGGATTTCGATCTTTTTTTTTTTTTACATTCTGACCCAAACTGTTTGATCCACTTAGATAAAGCTATTCTTGCGACATTAACTTTCTCTTTGAGTTTCAAGAAAGGTGTGCCCAGCTGACTCTGAGACCAAGCCTTGTTCACAACATCCCACATCCCTTGTCTAGAGATCCATCTCTTATCAAAAGTAAACCTCCTCTTACTTTTCAAGCTGCTCAACTAAGAATAAAGGATGAACATCCCATGGTATGAGGCACTTCTATACAGATTAGTTACTTAGGTGAGTGGATATCTGACCATCCATCCTAAAGAACCAAATGCAGTGTCCAACTTCTCCTCACCTATCCCTTCATTATCTTTGTTATTGCACCAGGTGTACTGGTAACCTCTCATTATAATTTTGGCCATTCCCATATTGGAGATGAAATTGTTGAAAGGGATCAAACTTCTGATTGATCTTTGTCTACCTCATTTCTTATCCTCCCCATTGTGAAGGTTATTTTAATCTCCTATCATACACCAATCATCCTCCCAACTATTCTTATCTTCTTCAAGACTTTGCCATTGTACCACTCTGGTTGTAAAATCAGTGCTTAAGTAAACAAATATGATCCAACATGGTGCCTCATCCATCGAGGGTTTGTATTGCACCTGGATAGAGAAAGTAGACTCTCTCAACTGTGAAATCTCCACATTCAAATCCCAGCATAAAAGTAAACCCATTAACAACCAATAGGCTCTACAAGGTCGAATCTATCTTCACACCCCAACTTTCTACAATCTTGGAGAGTAATTTTTTTTGTTTTTGTTTTTTGTTTTTGTTTTTATTTTTATTTTATTTTTTTTGTTTTGTTTTTCTCATAAAATTATAAACTTTGGACGGTGAGTACTCAGAGCCTTTCTGATTTGGGGAACTGTAGAGAATCCAACCAGACCTCTACACTTCCACAGCAGAGCTAACATTGGTCACTCTGGAGCCAATTAGGGCTGGCTTCCTCCACCTCCTTTTCTTTATCTTTAAGCTTCTTAGTTCCACTTCAGGAGGTGCTGATTCTTACTTTCCTCCATCAGAGTATTGGTAGACCCTCTTCCTCTTTTTGACACCTTATAATTCTTCTTGAGAGCTAGAAGTCTACTATTGTCTAGCCAGTCTACCCACTCTAGTTGTGTTTCTCCTCCGAGTCCTACTCTTCTGAGGTATAGTTTTCCCCACATGTATATATGCCCCTTGTTCCTCAATCTCCTGTATTTCCATTATGGTCTCTTTCACTTCTGGAATCAACCCGAGGCTTCAATCTTTATCAGATTCAATAGATTGAAGCGAGGTTGAAGGTACTTTCTCTACATTTCCCGCAACTCCTTCGATGGATGATGAAGATTCTACAACATAAAGGCTCCTTGAGTTATTTCCTACCTCAGGGGAATTCAATATTGGGCACTCTTCTTCCAAAAATTATGAAACCATATGTAGATGATCTGGATTCTTCTGTCCCAAGGACATACTTGGCGCATTCGTTCTATTTTCAGAAGGGTTGCTATTGTTGCTAGTGGGTGGAGTTCGAAAATTACAAAACTCTCAAACGCTTTCATCCATTCCCCATACTGATCCTCATTTAAATCCTACTTTGCTATATGCTCCATCCTCTTAGCACAACTCCTATCTATATGTCCAAGCTTCCCACAGTAATAGCAGAGGCTAACAATCTTCTCATATTTGAAGTACACTGTCAATGTTTGCACAACCAGTCTAATAGTAGACCATCTAGGTAGAAGGTCGCTTAGAT